AGTGTGTGTGTGTGTGTATATGTGTGTATGTGTGTGTATGTGTGTGTGTATGTGTGTGTGTGTGTGTGTGTGTGTGTGTGTGTGTGTGTGAATGGGGCGAGATGTGGGGGTACGTGATGTGTATTCGTCGGGTGGGGGCGGTGGGTGGATATTGTCACGTGGTGTAAGTGTGGGAAATGTCACATCTCGTATGTTTATGTGGGCGATGGAAAGAGGAAAAGTCACGTGATATGACATTTAGTGTATGACAAAATGTCGCATGACGTGTTTTGTGGAGGAAAATATAACGGGATAATCTGTGAGGAAATATCATGCGATATGAGGATGACACACGAGCCTTTCTGGAATTGTAAAATTCTTCGTTTAGTAGTAGAGGTTTTACGGCGCTCGCAACTGCATAAGGTCATATGAGCGCCATAAAATTCTTCCCCACTCTTGAATCAAACTCAAGTCTTCTGCGTGCGAGGGCGAAGAACTTTAACCCTTACCCTGCAGAAACTACTTATTCTGAGTAGATCTAGTAAAAGATGAGTTCATCAAATCATTTGTTTATTTGTTTTCTTTTTCCAAATTGATTAAGCCATATTTATTTATTTATTTAGTTAGTTATAATTAATTAATTGATCAATTAATAATTAATAAATTAGTTGTTTATTCATTTATTTATTCAGTTATTCTTATTTATTTCTCTATTTATTTCTCTATTTATTTCTCTATTTATTTCTCTAATTATTCCTCTATTTATTTCGGTACTTACAATGACAAGGAGAACTCGGACTCTGCAGCAGCCACCGATACATCCCATAATCGAAAGCAGGATCATGAAGCAGCCGAATACGATGGCAGCGATACCAATGGTATCACCAGCATTCTGCAGGTTGAAGTCGACTTTGTCGCTGTTATCGACGAAGGCATCGCGGACTTCATCCCAGCCGACTTTGAAGATGATACCGACTATGAGTACGGCCAGGCCAAATATCTGAAAGTTTTAAAAAATGGGGAAAAGGTTTTAAAAAATGGTGAAAATGGTGAATATGGTGAAAATGGTGAAAATAGTTTGAGAAATAAGCTTATCGGCCCTAACAACAATAGTATTAGGTTATCTAAGAGGCGGGACCTCCGAGTTTAACGTCAATTTCTGAAACGACCGAGCCAAATGGGAAATTCGTGTAATGTGCCTTTCCCAAAGACACAACGTCGGGCTCGAACCCCCTAACCTACAATCTCTCGATTACGAGTCCGGTATCCTTTGCCTAACCACTGGGATACCGACGTCCCTGCAAGTTTCAGAATGACAAAAAAAAAATTATGATGAGTCAGATAAGAGATTATGGA